TGTGGTTTGGTCTTTCATTCTGTGATTCTGTTAGTTTACATTAAAGAGACCTACCTAGGAGTCTTCCCATGGTTGTTTCTCACTTTACTTCCTTCTGTTAAATTTACTTAATACCCTTGTATAGAGATTGGCCCTTTAAAGAATAGAAAAATATTAAACATTCAGCCGTGTGTGGCTGTGTGTCAGGGTACCGGCTGTCTGGGACAGACCTTATCAAGGTCGGAGTGGCTAGAATGGCTGGACCTCTGAACCTGACCTTTCCTAAAGGAGCTCACTGCCTAACGTTCTTCTGTTATGTTCCTTCTGTGAAATGGGTTCTGACCAAGAGATTTGTCAGATGGCCTGTGGATCAGTAATTTAGGATTCCCTGAGTGGAAAAGAAAGGATTCTGCCCGACTGACAGAGAGCTCCTGAGTTCAAACAAATGCACACAACAGGAGCGCCTGATACCTGCCTGGCGCTGTCTGCGTTGTGGCGCTGCGGCGGTGAACGAAACAGGTAACTCCTGGCCGTCAGGGTTATAGCTGGCATCTTTAAAGCTGGTTTCTGAATAGAATGTGTAGTGAGATGATTTTATAACTAATTACTCCAAAATGGTGCTAAGGCAAATTAAGATGTTCTGGGGACACATCTCTTCAGCTGTCCTAGAAGAACCACAGCTTCCCATCAGCTCCTGGGCTAGAGGGACCAACCATTGGGCATGACTTCTTTCCTATTTGTCAAGTGCTTTTGTACACAGAACAAAAACCATAGCATTTTAATATTCATTATGTATTTCCGTTAACACCCATGTTAATTCATGCTTCTGAGAACAATCCTTTAAATCTGGGTAGAAACATAATTAGGATCTGAAAATGTTTATATTCTTTGCTTGGTAATCCCAATCCCCGAATTTGTTTCATAATCTGATAAGGTGTAACTATGGTATTGTTTTTGATGGTCTCCCACAAACCAAAGAGAAATGCCTAACAGAAAGAGCATTAAAAAAATTACTGAATTTTATCAAATGGCCTATTTAACCAGTGAAAATTTTATCAGATAGTATATTTAACCACTGACAATTATAAATACGAAGGGCCTGGCAACATGGAAATGTATAAAGCAAAAAGGATGAAATCCCAAATAGCATGAATACTATGAATGCAATTTAAAATTATGTTTGTGTATTGATAAGGAATGAAGTGTTTGATTTGGTGCACTGTCTGTATTATGCCATTAGTATGTTTTTTCTTCTTGTATACTGATTTCCATTAGTATTGCTATAACATTTGTACAAAAATTAAACAAAAACCAAGCTGATTTACTACAACAGTGCTATCCCTGGTTTTAGAATGATTATTGATCTGAGCAAAAGATCTTGTCTGCTGTATCAAAACCCCTGTACTGAGAGGATGGTGAAGAGAAGTAAAACAGCTCAAATGAATGTTGAAATTTGATGATTTCTTAACGTTTAGGTAGGCTTTGAATTACCTTATGATGTACCAGTGTGTACCATGTCCAAATATATCGCTATAAGGTTGATCTGGTGTGTGTTCATCTAGGTTGTGGGGTCCCACATTCAACACATCGTGCAGGTAGAAACTGACACAAACTTTTCTCCCCAAGACAACTCACAGCAGGCTTGTACCGTAGATGCGGTATTAACCACTGACAATTATAAATACGAAGGGCCTGGCAACATGGAAATGTATAAAGCAAAAAGGATGAAATCCCAAATAGCATGAATACTATGAATGCAATTTAAAATTATGTTTGTGTATTGATAAGGAATGAAGCGTTTGATTTGGTGCACTGTCTGTATTATGCCATTAGTATGTTTTTTCTTCTTGTATACTGATTTCCATTAGTATTGCTATAACATTTGTACAAAAATTAAACAAAAACCAAGCTGATTTACTACAACAGTGCTATCCCTGGTTTTAGAATGATTATTGATCTGAGCAAAAGATCTTGTCTGCTGTATCAAAACCCCTGTACTGAGAGGATGGTGAAGAGAAGTAAAACAGCTCAAATGAATGTTGAAATTTGATGATTTCTTATCGTTTAGGTAGGCTTTGAATTACCTTATGATGTACCAGTGTGTACTATGTCCAAATATATCGCTATAAGGTTGATCTGGTGTGTGTTCATCTAGGTTGTGGGGTCCCACATTCAACACATCGTGCAGGTAGAAACTGACACAAACTTTTCTCCCCAAGACAACTCACAGCAGGCTTGTACCGTAGATGCGGTATTCCCAAGGGACCCGGGAACCCGGCCGTACTGTAACCATGCAGTTGAGGAAATGCATGTACCGTAGATGCGGTATTCCCAAGGGACCCGGAATGCAAAGTCAGAGCACGGCGATCATTTTCGCCAGAACTGAACTCGCAGTGAAGTCAGAGAGCTCTAGTACCAATCTCATGCTCACCGCCAGTAAGAAAACGTCCTGTTAAATAAAAACCTTTCCCTGAGAATCCAGATATAATGAAAAACTAGAGAAGATGCTTGGGTTAGGCAGAATGAAGAAATTAAAATGTCTTTGAGTTTCTACTCAACCACCATTAGTGATATGAGTATGTTGAGAATTAGTGAATTGGGTATTTTTATCATATCAGTGATAATGAAGCAGCATGACAGGAGATTGATATTTGTTGAATTGAATAGACTAGACTTGCAGATGTAGCTGGAATCTTGCAGTTTTTAATGCCTTAATTTAAAAAATTATTTTTAGGAATGTAGGCCTCTCTTTATATTTGAGAGTGGTTTGAGCTTTGAACCGTGCAGATCTTTCTTAGAGTCTAAGGAAAGACTTGGGTCATTCATCTGTAGATAATGTGCCCATTATTTAGAAAGCCTTTTACCAAGTCTTATTTAAGAACAATGCTGTATTGTCATATGGTAGCCTGGAGTAGCAGTCTGAGAACATTTTTACCATGCCTACCTGTGGGCATCGCTAAGCTGTTGACCTCACCCTGAGTCACTCATTCATTCATTCTTAAGAACTTGAGTATCTCCCAGGTTCCAGGCACCGAGTCAGGTGCTGGAATAGACTGATAAACTAAGACGGGCAAGGTTCTCCTGGAAGTAACATTCTGGTGGGAGTGAGCAGACAGAAGAGCAGACAGGGTAACTGGATGTGGTCGGCGCTGCCAAGGACGGGCCCGGGACACTGAGCCCCAGGAGGGCGGGGGTGGGGTGCACATCACACTGTGCCTTCGGAAGAGGTAAGGTGCACTGCGGACTGTGTCTCATTTCCTGACCCTCCGAGCAGCCTCTGAGCTCCTTAGTGCACGTAACTGAAATGGTGCTCAGAGACCGCGGGAGAGTAAGGAGGTGTGACGAGGCGCCCGGGACCTGTCGGTCAGCTTCTGAAAGGCCGGCTTGATGGAGGCTCAGAGGCAGTCTTTGGCATGGGCCTCATTTGGTTCTGTTAATATTTTAGCCATTTTTAAAATGTAGGCTCTACACCCAAATTTAAAACTGGAATGCCCAATTTTTAAGTACAGTATGTAGGAAACTTACTCAGTTCTGACTACAGCCTCTTTTCTGACTTGCTAAGGCAAGTATACATTCTCTCACACTGCAAATCGTGCTTTTATTTTGATGAGCTGTGTTCCTTTATTTGTGCATTCCTTCATTCATCCACTCAACAGATATTTATTGAGAACCTACTAGGTCCTGGAGATACTGCTGTGACCAAAATAACTAGTTGCCTCTGTTCTCAGGTACCTGTAGTCTGAGGTTATGCTGATATACACTGCACACCACTGCTTAACATAAGACCATGCTTGGAAGACAATCTTTATGCGATATAAAGAGGCTTATTTTATGTTCTGCTGTCCTTACGACTTAAGCATTATTATTGTCAGTGATTTTTAGTCTTTGGCATGTGGGTAATTTAACATTTATTAAGGTTATTCTGAAATGTTGGGTACACAACTCTTCTGGCCATTTGAGTGCTTTTCTCTGTTTAGGAGCATTTTCCCTACTTGCCCCTGACTGACTGTACGGTCGTGACACAGCTAGAGTGAAGATCCAGCTTTGAACACTGTGAGATAAATCATGTCCACATTATTGCTTAAGTGGCCAGTTTGGTGTAGAGAAGCACATTTTCTGTAAAAGCCAATGCAAGTGTCTCCTTGACCCAAGGTCTCAACAATTTTTGAGCAACATAGGTATGATGGTTTAGAAAGAACTTGACAGATGAAAACAAATCCTATAGAACTCAAATTTTTTGTTTTGAAGAATGATTGGCAAAAGCATTCATTTGAAATGGTATAATTCATATTTATGAATATAGGGCCTACTTTTTCTTATTATTATCTGCCGATGAGCCACAGGGACTGTATTCAAGTTTCCCAAGCATTAGCTTAGCAGTAGCTCTGCTTTTCTAGGTGGATATGAGCATTTTGATCTCCAGACAGTGAAGCCATCTGTAGAATATAGTGGGGCTTTTAAAAATCCTTTTCAAAGCTTTTTATAACAAAAATGTCTCACGTGTAAACATTAATGACCAATATTTTTATCTGCACGAATGCGAGCCTATGTAGTCAGAGTGAAGGATCATTCCTGCATCATTTGCGGGGATAATTCACTCCTTTCAGCAGCAGACCAGAAGCAAGAGGGGCAGCCCCCAGTTCACCCCCCTACAGAGAGCTGCAGGGATTTCTGCCAGGTAGCTCCACGGGTGCATGGGCGTGAAAAACCCGTTTTTGAGAAACAAATATCAAAACAAAGGCCTCACAGCTGTGTACTTTCCTACCTCTGGGTCAGGATCCAAAGTCCAGTCTAGAAAGGGCTTACTTGCTTCCAGAGTACAGGGGGGTTGTGGGAGATGGACCCAGATGCTTTCACAAGCCCGGTGGGAGCTTGGGATACAGACGTGCATGACCCGTGTCTTTTGGAGAGGGCCTGAGGCAGACGTTCTCGTGGGGTGGAGGCAATACCTGTGTGAATATTCTGCAGGTTGCCAAATGTTGTTCTAGTTATTCCCTGTCCCCAATTTTTAAGGACAAATATTTGAGATGAACTGTTTATTTTTATAAATTATTTATGTATTGATAAATGTGTATAGTGCAGTGTATGAAGCATTGTACATAACCTGTTTTCCTTTTGAAAATTACTGAAACAGTAAGTCAACATTACAAAAGTTAAGGAAAAACCAGGGGAAAAAAAATTACCCATAATCCTGCCTTCATGTTTTTCCTACATCAAAATATATCAGAACAGTCATAATGCACATATAATTTGTATTCTGCTTTTTCATTTAACACTGTCCTCAGCATTTTGCCCATGTTGTGACAGTCCTTGTCATTAATTTTTAATGGCTATGTAATATGTTGCTGGGAAGATGTGCTCCAATTAAACTTTTCCTTATTACTGGGCATTTCAGTTAATTCAGATTTTGTAGTGAACATCTTTTCTCTTTTGGATAATTTCTGAAGATCAGTTTCCAGTAATAAGATTACTGTGTCAAAAGGAATAGATACATTTTCATGACTCTTGACACACATTGTTAAGTTACTTTACAAAAAGTTTGACATTTTCTTTGCACAACTTTAAAGGTGAATCATCAGCCGTGAGCAAACATGCTTACATGTTTGGACAGTTAATTATTATTTCCATATTAGGCAGAAAGAGAAGTTCTGTGCACATCTGAATTTCTTCTAATTGTTTCCATTACCCAGAGCTGACTTACGGAGAAAAATGTCCTGGCTGTGAGGCGTCCCAGGTCATGGAGCCACCGTTCTTGAAGAATTCGGTCCAGCTGCAGTTTTGTGATCAGTTCCCAGAGTCACTCATGTTTCTCCTGGCGGAGGCGGCTGGGGCTGGGGCCCAGGGCAACTGAGTGATGGGAGTCACGGGCCGAGCCGGTCAAGGCGCCCATCTGAGCATCAGGTTGGCAGCCTGTGGCCAGGTGTCTGGGTATTTTGAGCTAACTAATTTTGAAAAGTAATTTGCAATTTGTAACTGTGAATAGCATCAAAAGAGTCATAAGCAGGTCTTCTGTGGAAATTCTCTCTCTCCCTCCTCCTGTACCAGTCAGAAGATAATTACTGGGTCCTGGTGAACATACACGGTCTTGGGGCAGGTCAGGGTGCCTCAGTCTTGGCCGCATGGGCCACAGGACTTGCGCTTTGCAGCGAATTGCTTGACCTGGGTTTCCCCCTCTGACAAGCAAGGGTGTTGGGAACAGGAGCCCCCAAATCCCAAGAATTTTGTTGGTTCTCTGCCTGGTAGATGACTCCAATTTTATGTTCATTTTTGTAGCCAAATAAGTAATTTCCCTATTCACTGGTACTTCTTCTGTCAGGCAACAATGGAAAAGAACAGGATGTGAAACAAAGATGATGTTTATAGTGTGACATTTCCACTAAAAGATTTCAAGGCATGTATAATTAGGGCTAATGGCTGAAACCATTTTAACCGCCTGTGGCTTGCATTTACTAGTCCCATCTCCTCATTAACATGTCAAATATAAAACCAAGGGGTGGGGGGAGCCTTCACTCTTGTCGGGCCGCTTAAGAGGAAGTTGATCCAATCTGTGGAACTGGTCTTGAATTTACTGCCCATTACTTTATCTGCTGACTGTAAAAATTCAAGCGTAGAAAACAGCCATCTCAGCAACAACATTTTCAAACACGAAGGCCAACAACATTTTATTTAGCATAGCATTTTGAAAATCTACAGGCAGGTTGAGGAGGAGGACATAGGTTGGTCAGGGGAGGAGTAAAGGGTGGTGCGGGGGGGGGGTGCCCCTCACTGTCTCCGGCTCTGCGGACTGCCTGTCAGTTAGTCCTTTGTAAAGGTAGTTCGTTTGCATTTTGTCCTGGGAGGGCAGAGTCAGGAGGGAGACCTAAGGGCGAAGCTGTGCGGGCCCTGCAGTGCCTGTCCCTGCAGCTGCCCTGAGAAGGGTGCTGTGGAGAACCCATTACGGAGGGCAAGGTAAAGGTCAGTCCAGCTGAGCTGGGCGCCGTTCCCTCGGCCTCTCGGTCTCTTACTGGCATCAAATGGGTTGCGCAGACTAGAGCTGATTATCCGAAGCTCCCAGCCGCTCTCTTGCACGTGAGGAACCCAGGTTTCCTCCCTCCCCAGGGAAGAGCTGCCCGGTCCCAGGCCTGAAGGACTGAGACTGTTGGAAGTGGTTTTTAGCACCATAAAGTCATCTATATTCTTTCATCAAATTCAGCTCTTTTTTTTTCTTTTGAGTGCCTATTAGGAGCCAGGCACTGTTTTAGGTATTAGGGGTACTGCTGTGAACACAACAGGCAGAGGCCCTGCCCTTCTGGGGGAAATCAGACAATAAGCAAACAAGCATAGGACTTACCAGGTGGAGACAGTGCTGTGCTGCTTTGGATGGGCTTTGGGGTCAAGGAAGGTCAGGTCAGCCTTTCCCACCTGGGGATCCTGGAGCAGGGTCCTGAAGGAAGTGAGGGAGCTCTGAGCCTGTGCTGTGCATACCGGGGGAAAGACACCCAGACAGTACAGTGTGAGCAAAGGTCCTGAGGCAACAGCCTGCTTGGTATGTTCCGCTGAAGAGGCCGAGGCTGTGGCTGCAGCGGAGTAAACAAGGAAGAGACTGGGATGGGGACTGAGGCTGCAGAGCTGGGTGGGGTGGCCGGATAATATAAGGTCTTGTAAACTAAGGTGAAGACATTCCTTGGCTTTTGTTTTGAATGTGATGGGAGGGGAGAGAGTGCAAAGCACAGGTGGAGGGACGACACAGGAGGGGAGGAGCCCCACTCATGTTGAGGCAGGAGGGCAGGCAGGGCTGCGGCTGAAGGGGGGACCAGGGAGCCCTCATCTGCGCAAAAAGGATGAAGTGAAGGGGCGGGTGGGTGTGCTGGGAGCTCAGGAACGTCGGAGGGGCTTCCAGCCAGCCCCTGGGGCGCGAGCTCGGGGCAGTGGGAGGGCTGAGGGCCGTCTGAAGGCCCTGCCCACGGGCCCAGCTCCCGGCTGGGGCCTGTCCCGCACAGTCTGCGGACGTGCCTGGGAGGGGAAGGGCCCGGCCAGGCTCACCCAACGCTCGTGTTTTCCAGGTGGACTTGCAGGAAATAGAGAGAGGCGAAAGGAGTCTGGCCAGGACCTTAGATCTTGGAATCTAGATTGAATAAGGAGGAAGGTGAAGAGGCAGAGGCCGAAGAACTGGGAAAAAGTGCAGGGGAGACAGGAGGTTCCGGGGTCTCTGAGGACAGTCGGGACTGCAGTTCAGTCAGGTCGGAGAAGGAGATGCTTACCAAAGAGCTGAAGTCCTTTCACAGGGAGCTGGTTTGGGTGCTCAGATCGGGCCTCTGGAGTCTGTGCAGACACGTCTTCATCATAGGCTGACTGGCTGAGTCTCAGAATTCCGTGTGACATAGTTTCCCTGTGAACCCCATCTAAGCAAGAGCGCGCTGTGGGGGCCTGGGGACCTAGCCCGCGTCCCAAGCCGGCTGTGTGGCCGTGGACCCTGGGGAATGAACCTACAGTCTCTTCCACCCCTGATTTGCCCCTCAGTGACCTCCTGACTGTAGGCTTTTCCCAAACACTGACCTTCAAAATGGACCCTGGAGGATTTCCCTGTTAAAAATATGTACTTTTTCAAATACTCATCTGCTAATATTGCTGGGATTATCAAACTCTTGGACAGCTGCCTCCTAGATCACGTCACGGAGGCCTGACCGTGCAGTCCCCTGGCTGGGCGTGACAGGAGTCGCACGCCAGCAGCATCTGGGGCCGGGCATCCTGCAGGTGCTGGGATGGCTGGACCTTTACCCGCCCTGTCCAACTCTCTCCACGAACAAGCATTTTCCTCCTTTAACTTTGGTAGTGCCCTGTAGGAGAGATGCTTCAGGAGAAATGATACAGGCTGTCGCTCTCCGAATCAAGTGCAAACTGCAACCTGTAAATTCCAATGAGCATGTGCACATTTTACTGGTATTTTATTCAGGAGACATTCCAGGAGGCAGAACTCACCTCCACTGCCCCCACCGCTAGGGCAGAGCGGGTATTAAGAAGAATCTCAGGTAAATGTTTAACAAGATGGTCTAGTTTGCACTTTGTAGGCTTCACTGATGAAGTAAGTGGTAGTTTTTAGCTAAAACAACCTCATTGTTTGCACAAATGTTCTCCTTTGAGTTTTCTAGGGTCATTAGATCTAACTGCGTCCTTTACCTGCTGTTTGAACTGGTTGAGCCTGTGGGGGGACAGAAAACAAAAGAGCGGTGTTGAAATGCAAATAGACAGCTCTGGGTTCCAGTCCCTGGCCGCAAAATAGAGCTACCGCCGACGTCACCATCTCCACGGAGGCCTGCGGAAGGCTCCAGAAAAGCCTCACAGGATGTATTTCTTTTCATGGACTGGAATCCCAAGGTAGGTAAGAAAAACAAAAACAAAATAAAAACAAACAAAGGATTTCTTACTTGGAATTTGCTCAGTGCCAGTTGAATAGCTAATTGTTTCTCGTTTTCATCCCCTCCCCCCCTTTTTTTCTGCCTGAATAGATAATCCTTACAAAACATCTATTCATTCTACAAGCGAAAATTTCAGGAATACTCGATACTGACCTTGGCAGGACTAATGGACTGAGATTGAGTGATGGGTCTGTGTGCGTCTAGGATATTTTAGCTATAGGAAAGGAAGATTTATGGCATTTCAATGAATACGACGAAGGCTCAGACATGTAGGTAACATTCTCCGATACGTTATTTTTATAGCTTATTTTTGAGCACGATCTTGATTCTTTTGTTACTTCAAGAAAGGACCTGACGATAATTAAAGGTGGCCTTCTTTCTTTTGTAATGTGACCACTTTCACTGATCTGAAAACAGTTATTTCTTAAGGGAACTAAAATAAGGAGGCGATACAGTCTAGCAAAAAAGACACACTATGTCAGATTCTTAACTGCTGAATTAAATTTGTACTCGTTTGATTTCTGCTAGGAATTGGCTGTGTGACTTTGGGTAAATACTTTAGCTCCTTTTCTTTTAACTTACAAAACTAGAATGAGAAATATGTGATAGTGAAGAAATATTTGTAAAAGCTTTTTAAAGGCCCCTGAGAAGGCACTGTCAGAAACACGCCTGGGTTGTTTTTCACTGAAAATACTGATCTTGTCAGGAAATGTGAATTTTGGTATATCAGTTTATCTTTTAAGCCATCTTTTAATTTCAGGTGCTTATGTACTCTTCAGTTTGTTACTGGAAAGAAATGCCATTTTACACCTCCTGGCTCCTCAGCGACTTTATTCTGCTGAAAAAATCTCTTAAATCCTTATATACACAGTCACTAACCGTTGGCTTTATAAGGTCAGTCCCAGAGGTCCAGTCCCATGGCTGTTAGGAGCTCGGCTCTTCTAAGATAGCACCAACTCGGAACAAACATAAAACTGCAAATAGTTTAAATGGTACGGATTGATTTGACTGTAAGCCAGTCTGAACAGAGAGCTCATCAACGAACTCACCAGCAAAGTGATGTTAATTCTGGACTTGTTAGGGTGTATCTGTTGAGTTTAGCTCTCTGCCTTATTAAAAGACAAAGTGAGTAGAGTCCCTTAAGCTCAGATATTCCTCAACTATTAACGAGTAGCTTGCAGGCCCACTTCTGTTCTTGACTGCTGCCTACTTCTGGAGGAGAAAGCTTGGGAAGCTGACATGCCGGTCCCCGAGTTCTCAAATAAGCACAGTCCTGTGAAGCAGCGAATTCTGCTGGGTTAGCAGAAGCCTCAGTGTTTTAGGAACTGGGAATGCCAGGCCCCCGGGTTCTGGGTTCCAATATTGACTCTGCCCGTGAGTTACCCACTGTCTCGTGTTTCCCTCTTTAGAGAAAAGCTAAAACGATTGGCTTTTTCAGGAGTTGCAAAACACAGTGTATTAGAACAGGAGGGCTCCATGCAAACATGTAAATAGGAAATACTAATGGGAGTGCATTTCTAGTAAAGACGAATGCATTCTTTTGATAACTGGAAGTGGATTGTCTTCATGTAAGAACAGGGAGGTTGATTTCAAAAGTATTCTGTTTGAAATTTTTTATTTGAAAAGTGTGAATTTGGGTCATTGCTCTGTTAATCTATGTTGTTGGCATGGAAAGGAAATTGTTAGCAAGTTGCCTGACTAGCATAGTTAGTTGATTATCAGAGATCAGAACCCAGGCTTTCTAGTCACATGTGTATTAAAATTTAGCAGACTGACTTTCAAAGAGGGAGGCTCCCATTCTCTGAGAACAGGCGCTCTGTCGGGGTTTCTATACATGCTGTAAACAAACCAGACACACCAAGTAAATACTCTAGGAACCTTAACATTTTTGTGTTTTTGTTTTTGAAGAAAATTGTTTGAGGCACTCATTTGATTCCTCATTTCCTAGGACAGCAATCAAACCCTGGCTCGGGGTTTTGAATTCTGACTTCTTCCTGAACATCACGGATGTGTCATTAATACAGCAAACTTTTCTAGAACGAAATGCAATAGCTTTTCTTTTTTTTTAGTTCTTTTAATGGTGTAGCCAGCCTCTTATCATCAAAAAAGAAAAGGTATAATTTTTAACCCTTCCTCCATTCAACTTTCTCTATTCTCTCCACTCATCCCAAAACCCTTTTAGTTTTTCATCTGTGTCTGGCAGCCCTCTAATGATTCCCAGTAAAAATTGTATTATATTCCCATCATCCAAAATTAACGACTATTAGAATTTTTGTCATTTCTGTTTCAACCTTTTTAATGAAATAAAACGTTGGAGATTAGGTCACATTCCCTTTGAATGCTATTTTCTGTTCCATCCCCTCTTTCTATCCTCACCTCAGAGCCCATGTGTGGTTTGAAATGTGCTTTTAAAATATTTTCTATATGTTTACATGTAGTCATAACTAATATGTAGTGTTTCATGGGCTTATATCATAAATGGTTCCACTATACCTGTTGTTCTGTGGTTGGCTTACTCTGACTGAACTTTGTTCTTGAGATCTGCCCCTGCTTTTATATATGTAATTCATACATGTGCACTCATTGCTTTTAATTGCTGTCTGATATTTCATGGTATGAATAATACCACATTTTATTAGTCAGTCCGTTGGTAGATATGCAGATTGTTTAAAATCTCTCATTGATATAAACAGTGCTTGTATTATGTTTACCTGTGTCAGATGTCGGATGTGAGTTCTTAGGCCAGACGCCTGGCTGCAGAATGGCTGCATTTTGAACACGTCCAGTTTCACTTTTCAGAGATATCACCAAGCTGATTCTTTGACTGTTTGGAAACTGTTCCCCAAGTGTTTTCCAGCACTCGTGAGACTTACCTTTTCCATTTGTTAAACAACTATTTTTCTTGTGATGATGATGAGAGCTTTTAGCATGTTCTCTTAGCAACGTTCAAATATGTAAAACAGTATCATTAACTATATGCATGTCACATATTACATCCCATCAGAGTTCCTAAGTTTGCCTATTTTAGGGGTAATGAATGTTTTTTTTTTCTTGGGTGTTCTAGCTTCATCTCAGTGAATTCTTTTCACAGTCCTACCCCTACCTCAGGACCTCTGTTCAGGGCCCTCTCGGGGTCGCTTGCTCAGACTCCTGTCTACTCGGTCCGGGCTGGGCCCGGCCTCTGCAGGCAGCCCGTGTGGCCCCATCTCTCTGTGCGCAGCCGCACCAGAAGGAGCTACTCACCATTTTCTCAGACTCAGCTTTTACTTTTCTGCCTCTGCAACTTGATCATGGCTCTTCTGCGTTACTTTATTGATTCAATAAATATTTATTGAGCTCTTTACTTCCTGCCAGGTGCTGGGGATAGAAGGCGAACAAGAAAGCCAACATCTAGGTATGCACGGAGCTCTCCATTTTTAGCAGAGGGTGGGGAGGGGAAGAAAAGAAACCAGTAAAAAAATAAACAAGATAATTTCTCATAGTTTTAAGTACTATAAAGAAAGTGAAATAGAATGTTCTTGTGACTTTGTGTGGGTGTGTGTGGAGGTGGGGACGCTGTTGGGGGAGGTGGGCACATCCAGGTGGGAGCCTCGAAGGGGCAGGCGTTCTGGAAGGCCTTGCAGAGGCAGTTACACTCCCCAGAGACCAGCAGGGCGAAGCCCTCACAGGCCAGGATGGACTGTCGGCTGAACAGGGGCTGCCTCCGCTCCGGTGGGCCTGGCTGTACTGGGCACAGCTGCCCTCGTGGGGAGGAGAGGCCGGTGCCACAGGAGGTGCAGGCAGGCAGCGCCCTGCTGACAGGCACTTCCCTGCAGTTTGCCAAAGCTGGCACTGGGTCCTCTCCACAGCCAGCTCTGCGCTGCTGACTGGGAGCCCTCCTTCTGGACCATCGCAGCACATGGCGGGGCCCCTGCGGCCCTGCACACGGCACCCCGGGATCTTGGGGTCTGTTATTACCACGAACTAATTCACTTTCATTTTGCTGTTTGTTTCTACCTTGCAAGGGACGACACTGTTCCGGAATGAGGCAAGTAGAGGGGGCTTTGCACCGTGCAGAAGCCTGTCCTTCCCGACCGAGTCCCCAGAGAATGGGCTGTTGGTGAGTTGAACCCCCCTTACTGTATCCAAGCAAATTCTCAGGGGCTGAAGACAGGCGGTTTTCCCTACCAGTTGGTAAGACCAGCTGTGGGTGTCAAAGGGACTTTGTTCGCCCCACCCAGGTTTTTTCTCAGAATAACAATTAGTTATTAATCATTATTACAGTTATTAGTTATTAACAATCCTGTTTCTGACGCTGAGCCCACCCTGAACTTCAGCTTTTTGTGAAGAAATGACGGTGTGTTCTCTGCCATGGGGACCTTTCTCTAGCATCCCCAGCTGCCGAAGATGACACTGTGTACTGCACAGCTGCCATCGCCACGTGGGCTATAGCCTTCATCTGCAGGGGAATCCTTGAGTTGTGGGTTAGGTTTATTTTACAGCTGAAAAGATCTGAGGTTCAAAGAGGTTGTTATTTGTCCCCCAGATACAGAATTAGTGAATGGTGAGCCGGCACTTAAATCTGGGGCTTTCTGACCGCTTCTCTGTGAAGCTACTGTGCTTTAAATAACAATATAACAAACACCAGCCGCCTACTATTTCTAGACACACCCTCTGTGCCACTGACCACGGTGCCATACTGTCTATGGCTTCCTCCCTCTTTCACTCTGGTTTTCTGAGCGTCCCAGACAGCGGGAGGTGGTCTGCAAGTGGGTAGGAGCGTGCTCTGAGGAGCTGACGGCCTGCAGCACGGTGCTCCCTACCCACCTCTCGCTGTGCAGGCCCGGCCGGCCGGCTCCTCAACAGCTCTGGGGCTCAGTTCCCCTGTTTTTAAGGGGGTCAATAACAGTATCTCCCTTACTAGGTTGTTGGAAGGACTAAATAGGATAATACACATAATAAAAGGCTTAGAAGAAGCCTTAGTTTAGTAGCCCTCAGCTAGTGTTTGTGTCATCTCAGGTCTCAGCTCAAGTGTCACCTACTCAGCAGGCCTTACCTGAGCCCTGGAGCCAGCGTGGGCCTCCCCCAGGCCCTCAGCCGCCTGCTGCCTGCCACTTGCCCCCGTGGGTGGGCTGCTCTGTTCGCTGGAGCCTTGTAAGGGCCCCCGGGGCGCTGCCTGGGATGTCGTGGGCTCTTGGGGCATGTTTGTTGAATGGCTCTCTGTTTCTGATGAACCTGAGCCAGAGCTTCCATTCTGAATGACCTAATTGCTGTTGTGGCTCCCGCTGACAGGCCTACGAACAGTGTCCCCTGAGGTGCCATTCCCAGGGGTTCAGCTGTGATCCCGCGACTCATGAATCTCTTCTAGCTCTGACCCCAACCAACCATTCATAAAAGAAAATCTTCAGGCCCCCCGAGCTCACCATGTTCAGCAGCAGACCCACCACCCTGCCTTGCAGGCCAGCTCCTCTTCCGTGTCCCCAGCCTGGCCGAAGGTGCCCCCACCCACCTGCTTAGGAACCGTGCGGACAGCCTGCGTGCTTCCCTCACTTACCCTCCATCTGCAGCCAGCCAGCCACCATGTACCTGCAAGGAACTTGCCCGCGAGCCCAGCTAGAGGCCTGCAGCTGGCAGTCTGCCACCTGGCTGCAAAGCTCACACCCCGAGCCTCAGAAGTTTCTCCAGTGAGGTCCCCCCTCTCGCCCCAGGACCAAGGCTTGAGTCTGGAGGGGGCTTTGGCCCGACTGTTGCACCAGCCTTCCCCTGATCTTCAGACCCTGCACCTTCCATGTAGGCTGTTCTCCACCCTGTGGCAAGCGTCATCTTCCTAAAGTTCAAACCCTGTCCTATTTGTGCATGAAAACCACTCTTGGTTCCCTTACTCTCTTAAAGCCTAAATTCCTCATGGAGCGTGGAATCCCCTTCTTGGTCTTTTCCTGGCCTTCCTCCATTCAACTTTCTCTATTCTCTCCACTCATCCCAAAACCCTTTTAGTTTTTCATCTGTGTCTGGCAGCCCTCTAATGATTCCCAGTAAAAATTGTATTATATTCCCATCATCCAAAATTAACAACTATTAGAATTTTTGTCATTTCTGTTTCAACCTTTTTAATGAAATAAAACGTTGGAGATTAGGTCACATTCCCTTTGAATGCTATTTTCTGTTCCATCCCCTCTTTCTATCCTCACCTCAGAGCCCATGTGTGGTTTGAAATGTGCTTTTAAAATATTTTCTATATGTTTACATGTAGTCATAACTAATATGTAGTGTTTCATGGGCTTATATCATAAATGGTTCCACTATACCTGTTGTTCTGTGGTTGGCTTACTCTGACTGAACTTTGTTCTTGAGATCTGCCCCTGCTTTTATATATGTAATTCATACATGTGCACTCATTGCTTTTAATTGCTGTCTGATATTTCATGGTATGAATAATACCACATTTTATTAGTCAGTCCGTTGGTAGATATGCAGATTGTTTAAAATCTCTCATTGATATAAACAGTGCTTGTATTATGTTTACCTGTGTCAGATGTCGGATGTGAGTTCTTAGGCCAGACGCCTGGCTGCAGAATGGCTGCATTTTGAACACGTCCAGTTTCACTTTTCAGAGATATCACCAAGCTGATTCTTTGACTGTTTGGAAACTGTTCCCCAAGTGTTTTCCAGCACTCGTGAGACTTACCTTTTCCATTTGTTAAACAACTATTTTTCTTGTGATGATGATGAGAGCTTTTAGCATGTTCTCTTAGCAACGTTCAAATATGTAAAACAGTATCATTAACTATATGCATGTCACATATTACATCCCATCAGAGTTCCTAAGTTTGCCTATTTTAGGGGTAATGAATGTTTTTTTTTTCTTGGGTGTTCTAGCTTCATCTCAGTGAATTCTTTTCACAGTCCTACCCCTACCTCAGGACCTCTGTTCAGGGCCCTCTCGGGGTCGCTTGCTCAGACTCCTGTCTACTCGGTCCGGGCTGGGCCCGGCCTCTGCAGGCAGCCCGTGTGGCCCCATCTCTCTGTGCGCAGCCGCACCAGAAGGAGCTACTCACCATTTTCTCAGACTCAGCTTTTACTTTTCTGCCTCTGCAACTTGATCATGGCTCTTCTGCGTTACTTTATTGATTCAATAAATATTTATTGAGCTCTTTACTTCCTGCCAGGTGCTGGGGATAGAAGGCGAACAAGAAAGCCAACATCTAGGTATGCACGGAGCTCTCCATTTTTAGCAGAGGGTGGGGAGGGGAAGAAAAGAAACCAGTAAAAAAATAAACAAGATAATTTCTCATAGTTTTAAGTACTATAAAGAAAGTGAAATAGAATGTTCTTGTGACTTTGTGTGGGTGTGTGTGGAGGTGGGGACGCTGTTGGGGGAGGTGGGCACATCCAGGTGGGAGCCTCGAAGGGGCAGGCGTTCTGGAAGGCCTTGCAGAGGCAGTTACACTCCCCAGAGACCAGCAGGGCGAAGCCCTCACAGGCCAGGATGGACTGTCGGCTGAACAGGGGCTGCCTCCGCTCCGGTGGGCCTGGCTGTACTGGGCACAGCTGCCCTCGTGGGGAGGAGAGGCCGGTGCCACAGGAGGTGCAGGCAGGCAGCGCCCTGCTGACAGGCACTTCCCTGCAGTTTGCCAAAGCTGGCACTGGGTCCTCTCCACAGCCAGCTCTGCGCTGCTGACTGGGAGCCCTCCTTCTGGACCATCGCAGCACATGGCGGGGCCCCTGCGGCCCTGCACACGGCACCCCGGGATCTTGGGGTCTGTTATTACCACGAACTAATTCACTTTCATTTTGCTGTTTGTTTCTACCTTGCAAGGGACGACACTGTTCCGGAATGAGGCAAGTAGAGGGGGCTTTGCACCGTGCAGAAGCCTGTCCTTCCCGACCGAGTCCCCAGAGAATGGGCTGTTGGTGAGTTGAACCCCCCTTACTGTATCCAAGCAAATTCTCAGGGGCTGAAGACAGGCGGTTTTCCCTACCAGTTGGTAAGACCAGCTGTGGGTGTCAAAGGGACTTTGTTCGCCCCACCCAGGTTTTTTCTCAGAATAACAATTAGTTATTAATCATTATTACAGTTATTAGTTATTAACAATCCTGTTTCTGACGCTGAGCCCACCCTGAACTTCAGCTTTTTGTGAAGAAATGACGGTGTGTTCTCTGCCATGGGGACCTTTCTCTAGCATCCCCAGCTGCCGAAGATGACACTGTGTACTGCACAGCTGCCATCGCCACGTGGGCTATAGCCTTCATCTGCAGGGGAATCCTTGAGTTGTGGGTTAGGTTTATTTTACAGCTGAAAAGATCTGAGGTTCAAAGAGGTTGTTATTTGTCCCCCAGATACAGAATTAGTGAATGGTGAGCCGGCACTTAAATCTGGGGCTTTCTGACCGCTTCTCTGTGAAGCTACTGTGCTTTAAATAACAATATAACAAACACCAGCCGCCTACTATTTCTAGACACACCCTCTGTGCCACTGACCACGGTGCCATACTGTCTATGGCTTCCTCCCTCTTTCACTCTGGTTTTCTGAGCGTCCCAGACAGCGGGAGGTGGTCTGCGAGTGGGTAGGAGCGTGCTCTGAGGAGCTGACGGCCTGCAGCACGGTGCTCCCTACCCACCTCTCGCTGTGCAGGCCCGGCCGGCCGGCTCCTCAACAGCTCTGGGGCTCAGTTCCCCTGTTTTTAAGGGGGTCAATAACAGTATCTCCCTTACTAGGTTGTTGGAAGGACTAAATAGGATAATACACATAATAAAAGGCTTAGAAGAAGCCTTAGTTTAGTAGCCCTCAGCTAGTGTTTGTGTCATCTCAGGTCTCAGCTCAAGTGTCACCTACTCAGCAGGCCTTACCTGAGCCCTGGAGCCAGCGTGGGCCTCCCCCAGGCCCTCAGCCGCCTGCTGCCTGCCACTTGCCCCCGTGGGTGGGCTGCTCTGTTCGCTGGAGCCTTGTAAGGGCCCCCGGGGCGCTGCCTGGGATGTCGTGGGCTCTTGGGGCATGTTTGTTGAATGGCTCTCTGTTTCTGATGAACCTGAGCCAGAGCTTCCATTCTGAATGACCTAATTGCTGTGTGGCTCCCGCTGACAGGCCTACGAACAGTGTCCCCTGAGGTGCCATTCCCAGGGGTTCAGCTGTGATCCCGCGACTCATGAATCTCTTCTAGCTCTGACCCCAACCAACCATTCATAAAAGAAAATCTTCAGGCCCCCCGAGCTCACCATGTTCAGCAGCAGACCCACCACCCTGCCTTGCAGGCCAGCTCCTCTTCCGTGTCCCCAGCCTGGCCGAAGGTGCCCCCACCCACCTGCTTAGGAACCGTGCGGACAGCCTGCGTGCTTCCCTCACTTACCCTCCATCTGCAGCCAGCCAGCCACCATGTACCTGCAAGGAACTTGCCCGCGAGCCCAGCTAGAGGCCTGCAGCTGGCAGTCTGCCACCTGGCTGCAAAGCTCACACCCCGAGCCTCAGAAGTTTCTCCAGTGAGGTCCCCCCTCTCGCCCCAGGACCAAGGCTTGAGTCTGGAGGGGGCTTTGGCCCGACTGTTGCACCAGCCTTCCCCTGATCTTCAGACCCTGCACCTTCCATGTAGGCTGTTCTCCACCCTGTGGCAAGCGTCATCTTCCTAAAGTTCAAACCCTGTCCTATTTGTGCATGAAAACCACTCTTGGTTCCCTTACTCTCTTAAAGCCTAAATTCCTCATGGAGCGTGGAATCCCCTTCTTGGTCTTTTCCTGGCCTCCCCGCCTGCCCCTCCGTCGCTCCCCCAGCTGCACCTGGGCAGTGCGGTCCCCTGCTGGCCAGGGAGGCTGGGCTCGTGCCGCTCTGGGCCCAGAGCACCCTTTCCCCTGTGCTCAGGGAGATCCTCTCAGCCTCGGCACCAAACCACGTCCTCTGTGAAGGCTCTCAGCGAGGGCCCCCAGGCCGCCCGCCCCCGCCGCACCTCACAGAGCACGCAGCCCCCGTACTTTGGGGGAATGCATTTCTGAATCCGACGTGCAGAGACGTGCGGTCAGAGAGCCACGGTGTGCGCCTAAGGACAACGGGACAGACGACTGTCGAGGTCCAGGGGACCCTCGCAGAGACGATTCCTTGGGCCTCTCCACCACCCGGAGAGGGGTGGGGGGCCTGTCCAAGGCAGGGGGCCGCTGCTCCTCCTCTCTTCCTGGTGCCTGGCAAGACGCCCACCCCAGTGTTCGCTAAAGGTGTGAAGGTTGCACCAGGCCAGAGAGCCTTTACCACGTGAACAGGTTCGTACCTGACGTGTGCATTCCTCCGAGGAAGCCACCGGCCGGCTCACATCTTGGCCTTGTCGCTGAAATGCTGCTCGCAGCCTGCACGTCCTCTGTACAGTGGGGAGCGAGGAGCTCCTCCCGGGCTGCCGCGAAGACCGTGGGAGTGGACTGAAGGCCACGGGTGGCGCAGGGCCTGGCCGAGGCGGCTTTGCTTCTGGCGCAAAGATATGTGTAGCTCTTCATGATAAACAGGAACTGGGAGGCAAGGTCACATCCTAAAATAACTTTGAAGTCAGGATTTCTTTGGGACTTTTAAAAGTTAACACAATTAAGAATGTTCCTAGTATTTAGTAACTACGATAACGTACAAAGACCATTCTCCTGTATTTTAGAGTATCTGCCTTTCCTCCTGTACGGTTTGCAGGTGGCCTGGGGTTGGGGGTGGTGGTGACTGAGTTTTGCAGCAGCTTGTGTTTGATCAGCTCTGTCGGACCCCTCGCCCCCGCCACGAAAGGAAGCCGTTGGGTGAGTGTTTGCCCGATGCCTGGGCCCCGCCTCGCACCTACTGAATCAGAACTGGGGGCAGGAAGGGGTCTGTGTATCTGCGTTTAGGAAAACCTCCCCTGTGGTTCTGATCATCGGCAAGGTTTGGGAACCGGGAGTTCCTACACCACTAGAAAAGCATAGGGCTCGAATTTCTCATTTTCTCGGCCTTAGAGTCTTTGTAATAAAAAAAAAAAGAGTTGATTTGCCTTTTTTGTAAATGACCTGAGTTTTCTCAGTGGCGGTTTTACCTTCGCAGTGGGCTGTTTATCCTGCTAGTGGAAAAAACTGGCTCCACTGAAACAATAGGAGAAGGCGCAAGCTTTACCAGCTTCCCCACGTTTTTAACATCAGTGAAGTATTTCCTCCGTGTCCTACTGGGGCCATTTAAATGCTAATGGAGTTAAATGCAACAGTCTTATTAGGAATCCAACTCAGCTGTTTATATGACAATCTTAATTTTTCTTCATTCTATATTTGTCTTTTATTTTTAAATTTTTTTCCTGGAGAGCCATATGTTTACATTCTTTGGTGTTTCAAACCTTCAAGAAGAAGAATAAAAATCCCATCCTGACAGCTTCTCAGCAGTACTTGGAAGAGGCGGGGAATGCAGGCACCCTCTAAACCTGAAGTCTGCAGCTTGAATGTGCTGAGTCACCGAGTCTTTGCAGAGTCAAAACAATTTGCACCCAGGAAAAGTACAGCCGAAAATCAAACTGTAAGCAAGCAGCTGGCGGGCACATTTTTATTGAAATGCAAATAAGAAAACTGGAAGAGGGATAATGCATAGAGACATTGTAACTTATCATTAACTTTTAAACTTGTTTTCTGAGATTCCTAATGGCCTGATAAAGCCCTCTTTCTGGTTGATACTTTGTTGGGGAAATTCTTAAAATATTTCTTCCTGTTCCTAGAAAGTGACAATGAATATAAATGGCTAAAGGCGTTGTCTTGCAATGTTCGGAAAAAAGAGAAAATTAGTATTTGTCATTGTTCTGGAGTTTTGCAAAATTAAGACACTTAAGGTAGTTTTCTTTTTTAAAAGATTAATAACCAAAGAAGTCCAGTCCAGTCATGGACCAGATAGAGTTGGTGCCTCACTTTTATTGAACTGTTAGGAAGTCTGTTTTCCTATTCTGATCATGCAGCTGAATAGACAGTGAGATGTTACAACAACCGTATTAATAGGGGAAGTGACAGGAAGCTACAGTTTCCTTAGAATGAGAAAGAAAGAAAGTTTGTAGGACTCCTGGGAATGTAGATTATAGATAAAAACAAAAGTAGTAATTTGTGCTAAGAACTGCTATTTTATTTTTATAATATAAAAGTGGTTCCCTTTAATGTTAAGTATGTGAGACTTAAGAGGATGCAAACATCCCCCTGACAAGGAAGTCAGAACGCGTTTACCGGCACCAGCAAACCTCCTGAGGCCATTTCACAAGGTGGGAATTTACGCTAAAGCCGCTCAGCTGTGATCTTCCCCCAGAGGGTTTGCAGCCGTGCGTGGGCCGTGGGGACGGAGCCCTGGGACGGGCGCTCTCCGGGCGCCGCTGCCCCTGTGCCAGCGCTCCAGGCTCATCCCCTCGTTCTGTCCTTGCAGCCCCCTTACCCCCCCTGTAAAGGAGGAGCTTGTAATACTAAAGCTGAGTAGGCTAAAACTTAGAGGCTAAGTCATTCATTCCCACAGTTCTCCTAGTCGGCGGCGGATGGGGGGAGAATGTGAGCCCGGGCAGAATCGCTCCAACGCCCCGGGTCGCTGCGGAGAGGGCCCCTCCGCCCAGAGAACGCCTGCTCCCCGGGACGTAACGTCAGCGGCCGGAGGACGTCATCAGGCCGGCGTTCCCGCTGCTCACAGTGAGCCGGTCGGAGGGGGCGGGTGGGGGAGCAAAGGGCCGCGCGGGGACCCGAAAGGTTCCAGCTTAGCACGCTTTTCTGCTCAGAGCTGTTCTGTAATTAACACCTACTGATGAAAACGGGAAATGTATTAAAAATTTGTTGTTTCTTTCCAGTTTAGATTGGACATAACGCAATGACTTGGAATTTAAAGAATCAGTAAAAATGCCCTGAGCTCACTGCCCTCCACTCGACTCTGCCTAGAGCTGGAAGTGGGCTGACTTCGCTGCCCGTCGAGTCAGAGCCTGCGCAGGGGCAGAACCGGGACGCGGGCGCAGGCCACGGTAGGGCGTCGTGCAGACGCAGTGCGAATCTCGGCCGTTTGCAAGCCTGCTGACCTGGGACAGTTGACTTGACCCCTTCTCTTCGTAGGTCTTAGCCCGGGGCCAGAGGGGACCCCAGCAAGGTGACCTCATCTGCGAGGCCAGGGTGTGGCCAGCTCTGAGACGGGGCTTCCTGGGACCCCATGCGGAGGAGACGGGATGCGTTGGGCTCCGGGGCCGTGTCTGGGCCCCAGCTCCAGGCAGGGCTGTGTGTCACCGAGATGAGGTCTGACATTGGCAGTGAGTCAGCCATGTGGGGATCTTGGTGGAAGGGGTTTTCCCGGCAGAGGAAACAGCTAAGGCAAACAGGAAATTGCCTACTGGCAAGATTTGGGAATGGCAAGGAAGTTGGTGTGGCTGGAACAGAGGGTGAGGGGGCCAAGTAATGGGAGGTGAGGGCAGAGAGGGAAGGGGTCAGACTGTTCAGCATCATGTCAAGGACTTTGGGTTTTACGATGAGAGAGTGAGGGAGCCGCTGCCGGGTCTGGAGCAGAGGAGAGCACGGTGTGACTGAGGTTCTAGAAGACTGCTTTGGTTGAGGTGCTGAGAATAGGCTGTAGGGGCTGATCTGAGGCAGGCAGAGCAGGTCCAAGCTGCTGCAGGGCTCAGGAAAGGAGCAGAGGGGGTCGGAGCAGGGATCGGGGTCCTAGAGTGCTAAGAAGCCCCCAGAGTCCGGTGTGTTCTGAGGGTAGCACCAACGATTTATCATGGGGACAGAGATGAAGGGTTTTCTGCAGGAGCAGGTGGAACAGAGTTTGTTACACGTGGGGCAGGGAGGCCACATGCAGGTGGGACAGATTTGGGGGTAAGATCAAGAGTTCATTCTTGACAATGTTGAGATTCCGCTTGACATCCCAGGGGAGGCGGACAAGCAGAAAGGGAGAGGTCCAATCTGGTCATTAGAAATTTCCATCGGAGATTACCAGCACTGAATATTGAAAGCTTGAGCCTTCAGAGATCGCCAGGGGCCCAGGGGCTGAGCTCTGGAGCACTCCAATCTTGAGAGTTCTAGAAGAAGAGGACGAATCAGCAGAGGAGACTTGAGACAGGGCAGCCAGTGGGGCCTTTTTGAAGGTGGCCTTCACCAGGCAGATGGCAGGGAAGGAATTCCAGGTGAGGAAGACGGTGAATGCGAAGATGAAGGAATGTGGAATCCCCATCTGGGAGCGGGCAGGCCAGGAGAGCCAGTGGTGTGGGGGGAGACGGGAGGGGAGGCTGCAGATGGGGCTCACCTTGCAGTGGGATTAGTCACTCAACTTACAGTGTTGGTTGTTTATTTCACAGTGATGGTGGCTAGGATTTCTTGAGGTCTTACTCTGATTTACCATGTGTAGGGCACTGTACTAAGCACATTACATACATTTTAATCATTTAATGTTTATACCTACCCTTTAAGAGAGATGATATTATTTTCCTCTGGAGTATAGAAACTGGCTCAAAGATGTCAAAGAGCCACTCAGGGTCACCTGTCGGGTAACTGCCTTAACCCAGTTCTGTTGCAGAATCCGTGCCCTGGAGGTCTGGCTTGTCTTAACTGTGTCTGGGGATCAGAGGCTGGGAGTTTGTGTTTCCCTGGAGAGGATCCTGCCTCACTCTCTCTCTCTGAGAAAGTGCTTTCCATGCAAAGGGCCAGGACAGACCTCGGGCACCTGTGAAGGATTTCACCAGGGCAGGGGCTCCACGGGATCTGCTTTTGCAGCATATCCATCTGGCAGCAGTGTGAGCAGCCTGGGCATAAGCAGAGGGCAGTGGGTCTGGTGGGGAGTAGCTCCGTGAGGGACTCTTGAGGGGCTCAAGGGCCGATGGGGCTGCAGGCTGTAGGGTCTGGGCCTGGGGAAAGCTGAGTTGAATCTGCAGCTGGGAGGCAAGCAGTTGAAATAAATGAGGTCAGTGGTCTGGGTGGGGGAAGCGACTTTCAGTTATTCATCCTTCATGGACGCACCCTTTTCTGAAGTGGATCCCCTGGGACAAGCCCACCTCCCGCTTGGCAGCAAAAAGGCCAGTTTCTTGCCTTCCCTTCTTCTTGCTAGAATGGGCTTTGGGGTGTGGAGCAGCCTCCTGGACTCCAGCCAAAGGGTGATGAACACCAGTGTGGTGTGAGAAAGCGAGTGACTGAGGGCGGGGTGACACTGCCTCTCACAGGCCTGGTGGTTGGGGTGCTTTGCCTTCAGTATATTGGAGAGAGGCCTAAAAGTGATTGTTGGTGACAGATCACAACGTGATTTTGGGGCCAAGACTTGCGCAGATTTCACAGATTTAAGAAACATTGCTGTATGTAGAATATTTCTATCCCTTAGGTATGTGAAGAGTTTCTCAGCAACTTCATCTATAAAAATAAAAGTAGTGATGCGAGTATCCAATATCCAAACTGTTTTATTGTAATAATAAGGCATCCACAGGCCTGTGAACTAATGACTGGAAAATAATCCCAGTTCATCTCATTAGGGATGTATTTGCAATAACATTTTACTTTTTATATTTAATGAGTGTTAAAGTCTGTTATATACTCATGATTCTCTGATCAATTGTGTGCTGCTAATAATTGGAATTTATTGCTACTCAATTCAGAAAATTTTGTTGTGTATGTAGTGGATTATGGTCACAGAAACTTTATTTTAATTTATGTGCATAGTGTGCGGATGAGACATGAAAAGGTTATTGCTGAAAGGTTTTGAAGCCTACAAATAAATTAGGTTTGAAATCTGTGGGTGATACAAAAAGTTGTGCACAGATGTTGACGGCAGCATTATTCATAACAGCCCAAAGTGGGCACAACCCAGATGTGCACTGACTGACGGGCGTGTAAACACAATGTGGTGCATCCCTACGATGGAACATTATTGGGTAATAAAAAGGAATGAAATGCTGCTTCATCCTACAGCCTCGAAAACATCATGACAAGGAAAAGAAGCCAGTCGCAAGAAACCACATGTTGTCCGGCTCCGTTGTATGAAATGTCCAGAAGAGGCGAACGTACAGACAGACTGTAGACGAGTGGCTGCTTAGGGTGGTGGCCGGGAGCAGGGGACGGGGAGTGATCGCTAGTGGGTACGAGGTTTCTTGTTGGGGTGAGGAGAATGTTCTGGAACTGGTTGTGGTGATGGATGCACAATATTAAATATGCTAAAAAAATTAAATGGTAAACTTTAAGGGGATGACTTGTCTGATATGTGATTTATATCTCATAAAGCTTGTTATCTGCGAGGTCAGTGGAATGGAAGTAGGAGTTAAAACAGAAAAAAGAATGATGTATGATGAAGAAGGTCTGAGCGTGTACAAAATGCTGTCACTGGGGCCTTTGCAAACTGTTTAAACTTGGGCTAAACAAATACGGGTGTCGAATTAGACATTGCATAGGTGCACGTGGTTTCTGTTTCATGGATTCATGAGCCGAAAAAGCCTTAGGCCCAATGGACCAGCTGTCCTAGAGAGAAGGGTTAGATTCGGTGAGAGGGACACCGAAGGACAAGCAGGAGCCCCGGCCCTTAAGGGACACACAGGAGAAGCTGAGGCAGGCGGAGAGCCAGGGGCCGTTGCTCCCTGTGTGCGGTGTCCCCCGGATTATGGCCGCCAAGGACTCAGCACCATCCGCTGACTCAGTCGGCATTTATGAGGCCGTTAAGCTCGCTGGCCTTGGCACCCCGTTTCAGCAAATCCACGGCTGTCCAGCACAGACTGGCAGCTGGAACAGTTTAGAGAGAGGCCAGGAGAGCGGACGGGGAGGAAGTGAGGACATCCACTGTGGGCTGCTCTCTTGAGAAGTTGGAACGCAGAGATAATGGGGCAGCCGTTTGGTAACTTTGGGGAGAAGTGGTGTAAAGGTAGTTGTTTCTGTGTTACAGATGCAATCAACTCGAGTGTTTGCAGACAAGGTAGAAAGCTGGTGAGTGAGAATGAAGAGAGCAGCTCGCTTCTGCTTTGTGCAACATGCCACGTCACTTGAGGCCATGGCGGCCAGAGCCCCTGCCCCCTCCGGTGGCTGGGAGAGGGGCCCCTCCTGCAGGCAGCGCCCCCGCCTGTAGACACCCAGCTCCCTACGCTGCGTTTCCAGGGCGGGCGGGCAGGGCTACCGCAGGATGGGCTGTGGTAGATCTGCACCTCGCTCAGCATTCCTTTGGGTCGGACTGATTTAGGGTGAGAGTGGCTCCCCAGTTTCTTGGGCAGGAGCAGAAAAGAGATTTTCAGGTGAAATGCTTTTCTCACCTTGGTTCATGTGAATTAAACTCCAGAAGAAACCTCCCCGCCTCCAATGCTAAAGGGCTGGGCCGGGGTGGGCAGGAGGTGGGGAAGCTGCCCCTCTGCTAAGGGTGCCGGCAGAGTGGGACCAGCCTGGCCTGGGCCGGCCAGCACCTCGGGGCCCACAGGTCGGGGCGAGAGGGGAGGTCGCGTGAATACTCCCAGGAACGGGGAGTTTCTGCCTCAGGGCTCCTCAAGCTCACTGGAACCTATTTCATTGTTTTTACCCTTATGAAATGCTCTCAACAGCTGCAACAGAAAGAAGAAAGGAAGTGTTTAGTAATATTCAGAGAGTCATGGCCAGGACAAGTGGCCTGCATCATCCCTGCCGCAGGGGGAAGAGACTCGGCAGGGTGTCCTTACATCCCTCCCGTGTCTAGGGCGGCAGGACGCGTTTGGCGGTCACACCGGCCACGCGGGGTCCTGGTGAGGGGACGGACTTCCTGCCCTGAGTCCCCGCGGCCCTGGCCCTCCTGTGTGCCCCCCTCAGGGTTTATGATCGGGCCTGGAGACTTGAAGACTGGTAAGGAGGCCGGGCAATGCTGTGCTCCCAGGTAGATGTATTTGAAATTCCTTGAAAGTTTTCCAGGATGTACTTTGATGTGAGCATACGGACAGTAATGGAAACCATTATAACAGAAGGAAGTATTTATCTTTGTTTTTGAATTCATACTTAATATTGTTGTTGTTATTATCACAATGCTTCATACCTGGGTCCTAAGTCACCCCTGTGTGCACAAAGGGGACTCGCAGCCTCCCCAAGTAGCAGTTCCTATGTAGCTGTCACGGGGCCTCGTCCCTGGGTGGGGTTCGGGGGCTTGGTGAACTTGGATAGAGAAAAGATGGCATTTTCAGTCCCCACACCGTTGTTCCCTTGGAGATCGTGGTGACGGCAAAGCAGAGCAGAATTAGCTGTACCTGGACTGTCACTAGGAAGTCACACATGTTTGCAGACTGCACATCAAATTACAGTGTTGGCAGCTCTCCTGAAATGTGTGCAGACTTACCACCACTTTGAGAGAATGACAGTTATCTGACTGCTGCTGGGTCTTGTCAGCTAATACGTCGATAAAAAGGCACATACGTTACTACAGCAAATATATGTGTGAATAGTTTGACAGCTGTATTTCATAACTAGTTTTTTCGCAGTTAACGCCTGTCTATTTTACCTTATTCTGAGGTTTTGCAAGGCCGCCGAGGGACACTGAGGTGCCGAGGGACACTGAGGCAGCAAGGAAGGGTGAGAACGCCTGTATGTGCGCGACTCCTGGGGAGACTAGGAGCTACAGAGACCCGATCAGGGCGGGGCTGAGAGGCGGCTTGCAGTGAACCCAGGAGCTCCTGAAGCCCCTCGGGGACTGAGCTGGCTGCAGGGGCGGTCTCTGGAGGGAAGCGTGGAGGAGGGGAGAGAAGCAGGCGGTCATTTCCTGGGAGGGACCAGAACGAGTGCTGGGGCCTGAAACCACACGCGGGGTGACAGAGTGTTGATGGCTGGCTTCCTGTGCTGAGTCCTGGGGACTCAAGAAGGGACCAGAGGCAGCCTAGGAGGTCCGTAAGCTCACTTTTTAGAACACCTTTTATGGAGACGGCATATTCAGGGTCAATTTCCTTGAAAAAATTCATTGAGATGATAGAATGTTTAAAAACAGTTTTATTGATGTGTGCATTTTAAAGACAGCCTTATTGATGTGTAATCCCCATACAATAAATGCACGTATGTGGTGAGTTTCGGCATGTGTATACGCCGTGGAAACGTCACAGCCAGAACACTGAGCATCTCTCGCCCTCGGCACAGGTTCCTAGAGCCCCTGCCGCTTCTCCGCCCGGCACCTGCTCATCCACTCGTCAGACGGGGCCCTGGGCGGAATGGAGTCGCCCCGGGCACCCTTTTTGGTCCTGCTTATTTCACGAGCATAACGCATTTCACCCAGGTTCTTAGGAACCAAGGAAGGGTGGGGGGTCTTCTACTGCTCACCAAACGGGAGCAGGGGCGAGGATGTGTTGGGAATGTGATCTGAGCGTGGCCAGAGCGCCTTGCAGCCCAGACGCCCTTCCCGTCGACGCTCCATTGAGCGCGTTTAGAAATGATTTAGACCTGAGAGAGCTGGTGGCCACGAGCACTTCGCTGGGGAGCCTTTGCCACCACAGGCTTCCTAATAAGGTCTGTGGGCGCTGCAGGATGAGGCGTTAAGAAAGCATTTGGTGAGCCATCTGTTTTTCCCCACTGTCTCCTTGTTTGGAAGATAAGGGGCAAGATTATTTTCCAAGTTTCGTAAGTAGGAAATGAGGTATAACGAGTTTGGGAGAATTATTTCCCAAGATCGAAGTGAGTCAGGCGCAGGCTGGCGGCACACAGCCCCGCCGACCCCTAATGCTGGTCCTGCTGGTGGGCTGGGCTCATGGTTTTCAAAGAAAAGCACAGTGATTTCACTTTCACTTTTGTTCTTCTGTGGGTGGTGATAGAATTTTAAATTGGAGGAGTTAGTGTTTTCTTCTCCTTTCTTTTTAAAACTCTCCCCTTTCCACTCAGTAAACCCCAACACCTGTGCTGACGCGGTCCAGCTGAGCTCAACAACCGAACCGCGGTTCCGTGCAAGCCTCCTCCCTAGGCGCTGGGGAGACGCCGACCTGGGCACATCCTGGAAGGAGCTCCGAGGCAGAAGGACCGGGGAGAGCCGAATGGTATTTCCTTCCCTCTTTGGGGTCCTGAGAGGTCTGAGAACCTGGTGAAAGTTGTGGGTCCTCCCTCGCAGAAAAACATGGGTATGTGCACACACACAGGACTTTGCAATGACTCCGGGGTGTGTGGGCCCCCCACGCCCCCCAACGTGTGTCTGTAGGAGTGACCTCAGGGTGAGTATTTCTGGCACAGAAAGGAGTAATAGTGCCCTGAAAGAAGCACAAAGCCGGAGTCACTGCTGGAAAGAGGGGTTAGGGAGAGAGAAGATCCAGGTGGGTGGGAAGCAGGGGCGCTGGGGGTGGGTGGTGTCCTGAAGGACAGGCCTGCCGAGTGAGGGGCGGGGTATTCGTCTCCGGAAGGCGGTTCCAGGCCAAGTCAGAGTGGGAGCAGGAAAACTCCAGCGATCCAAGCAGCCCAGTTTGGCTGGAGGGAAATTGCATGACGGGGATTCTTGGGCAGCAAACACAGGGTCGTGCTGAGGACGCTGGGGCCGCGCTGAGTACCCCGCCTCTGCCCCCAGCAAAATGCTCTGTGACCGTGCGATCCCTTTCTAGGTCGGGGTCTTGGGGGTGTGAATATGTGAAGGATGTGTATTTATTGTAATGAATTAAGGAAGTTATAAAAAATCAGAAATTCTCAGATGTGATCTGACCTCCGTTGACAGCTGATCTGTTCTGCTCCGGCTTGTGAGCGTTCCCGTCACTCTCCCCACTCTGACCCACGGCCCCAGGTATGAGACAAGGCCCGCAGATTTACCACGATTTATATAATTCTTCTCTTTACATTCTTTATGTTTATTGAAGGCATAGCAAACATCTTCCACAAATATTTTTCTTAATTTTTAAGGAATTTATTATTTCCTTAGGGTAGGTAGAGAGGAGGACTTATTGGGTCAATCTCTTGAACTTCTTTAGAAGATGAGTAGGCTCTCTATTGTTTTTTCATTAAAACAAAACTGGAATATAGTTGATAAGTAGACCTACATTAGTCCACAGCCTTCTGAAGGGCTGTCTGCCTGCCATCTTACTTCCTTCTGTTATTTCATTAATTTTCTCTCAGTGTCCTTTGTCCCCTCCTTAGCCTGTTTCTTAAATGGTCGGCTCCCCAGACCCCCACCTCCTGGGCTCTCCTCCCTAAATACACTCTCTCCTCGATCGCCACTCACAATAAGCGAGCCTGTGTCAAACGCCTGATGTGGTCTCACCCTGACCCTGTCACGTGATGATCAATACCTTCGTTTTACAGATGTGGAAACCCGGAGAGGTAAGTCACTTTCCCAAGGGCATCACCCCGAAGGCTGTCGGGGACCGTCCCACGTCCATGAGCCCAGGTCTGCATGTTCAGCTCCCACCCGCCCAAGCTCTCGAGCAGCGTGTCCTGTCACCCAGCACGCATTTCCGTCCGGGGTTTCCACTGGCGCCTCAAAGCCCTGTCACCGGAGCTCAGCTCTCCGCTGTCGTGTCCAGCCCTACCCAGCGTTAGTATGAGTCCCCCGTCCGCCCGTGACAGCTGTCTTTCTTCTACTCCCCCTGCCTCCCCCCGGTTTTGGCATGGATTTGATGTGGCCCACGATGTCCTCCCGGCCACGGGGAGGTCACTATTTGAGGACATGTAGTGTGACTTCCATGGTTCTCCTGCCTCCCACCATCCTCCTCACTACCGGCAAGCTGAGCTAACAGCTTTCCATGACTTGTCACGTTGCCGCCTCTCCTTGAAGATTTCCAGTGCCCCCCGCCCCCCAGAGTACAGCTCCACTGTCCACGTGGCCCGCCGGTGCGCCACGATGACCGCCTCCCTCTCCTCGGGCCCTCCCTGCACCCGTGGCCTCCGCTCCGGCTTCCAAACCCAGGGAACCACGTGCAGCCAGGACCGGGGGGGTGGGGGGGGTCCGGGTCAGGTGGCCGAGGCCCCTTGGCCGGGCTCCCTTCTGCTTCCCCTGTGAGCTCCCCACCCCCAGGGTCCAGGCTGACTCCTGTCCTTCCAGCTCAGGCTGGGGTGGCAGGACCACGAGACCCCTTTCCTCCCTTCTCTGTCCTCACTGTCCCCTCCTGCAGGCTCCACTACTCCATGAAAAGTATCAGATTTTATTTTAATTGTCTGATTACCATTGCATCTTTCTGTTTCTTTGACTAAAAATTTGAGGGCAGAGCCTGAGTAATTTAATCATTTTAGGATTCCTGTGGACTCAGTAGATGCTTGGTGTTTGCTGAATAACCTGGGGTGTTTCCTGGCAGCCTCAGTGTGCCCGTGGGCATCCCACAGCCGTGTGTCTGCCGTAGGGGCCCCTGGACTTACCAGAGGTGGCCTTACAGGAATATAGCACCTAAGTCTGTGAGTAAGAATTCACTGGAATGTAGTGTTTTGAATTGTGAAACTACTGCCCGTTTTAATCAGATAGCTTTTGCTAGTGACTCTCCCCCATTGCTCCCCAAATTTAGTGGCTTAAAACAACTTTATGTTTAGCTTATGTTTCTGTGGTCAGATGACTCTGGTCTGGGCAGCTCAGCTGATGTCTTCTGGTCTGGCTGCATATCTAGAGTCAGATGACATCCAGATAACCCAGGAAGGGCTCGCTGATAGGTCTGGCTCTCGGCTAGCAAGCCTCGGTGCACCTCCATGCCGCCTCCCAAGCAGGTTAGCTCGGGCTTCTGCACACGTGGTGTTAGCGCCCCAGATGCAGCAAATGTAAACCCTCACAGGGGAATTAAAGCCACTGCTTGCAACTAAGACACAGGGATGGGGAAATAGCCTGCCCTCTGATGGGAAGGGCTGCTATATCACATTCAGGGGGGAGATTTTGGGGTCATTTTTACAAGGACCTGAATGCACCAGTCCCTGAATGCAGAAATTCAAGAGTATCTGATAGATACTAGGCACTTAACAGATAACCTGGATTTTTGGATAAACTATTGGCCGCATGTACACGTTTATGCACTATACTTATTTTGCAAATAGGGCTGAAGCATGCCTGGGAGAAATTGTGCCCCTTTCCCAGTTCATCTTGTTTTTGGATTCTTGATACCCATGTTTAAGAGCATGTAAGTATCACAGAGCTATTAATCAGATGTTACCATCAATACCTCAGATGCAATTTTGGTAAAGGGAGCTATTGAAGGATACTGAATTCACTGAAGGATCGAATTAATTAAGAAGATGTTCAAAAGCCTGCTGTACTGGACTAGTGCCTGGCATGGGTAGAAAGCTGCAGAGAGATGGGTCTGCATTTTAGAAATATCTCATGCATGGAGCCATTCCATGTCTTTACCGCATTGTCATTTCCAAGCAGAATACCTAACTACTAGACTTATTTCCTATTTCTAAAGTTGTTTGCTTTTAAGTGGTTGGGTTCCAATCAAGTTGCTAACATGATTATCTTAGAGGCAAGCAGCTGGATTTGGGTCACGTAACAGTGGCAGAGACAGGCAGTGAGGCAAATGCTGCTGTCGTTGCTGTACACATTCATTTCTCTGGGGTTTACCCCTGGGAAAGGAATTGCTTGGTCATGATAATTCCATTTCATCTTTTGAAGAACTTTCAAAATGTTTTCCAAAGTGGGTGTACCATTTTCCATTCCCATCAGCAGTGTATAAGAATTCCAGATTTTTTCATATCCTTACAATACATGCTGTTATATGTCAGTTTGATTATAGCCAAAGATAGGTTTTATTAGAGCCATTTCTCAGATGAAGGTGCCAAGCAGTTGAGACTGTGGCAGGTACTCTGCGCCCTCAGACACCCCGAGTTCACCTGCCTGTGTCCCCACAGCACTTGACCCCACCTCGCCTCATAAGTGAAAGAGGAAAACGTGGAAATTAACTTTTTTTCAGATACTTCAGTATTTTTTTCCTGAATTAGTTGGCAATTGAATATTTTGTATAGTGGGTTTTTGTAAATGTCTGATAGTCCTTCTATTAAATATATGTTTGATTTAATTCTGCTTCCTCACCATCAAAATTTACATCCCGGGCAGATTTGTGTACAGTGCAGGTGATCAAATGTGGTAAGCAACCAGTGAAATGTCCCCAAATTTCAGAATTTCTTTACTGTCAAGATGATAATTCTGAACCAGAAAGAAGTATAAACAAACAAACTCACGTGGAGAGGTTTGTTCCTGGCACTCACATCCATGACCTTGCCTAATACTCATCTTTAGATCTTTAAAAATTTAAGCACAGGTGCCCTGGCCTCATCCTAGACAAGTGAGTTGGACTCTTTATGGGTGGCTCCGGGGTGTCACTCACAAAAGCTCACAGGGTGCTTCTTAGGCTCAGCTGAGGTTGAGAACCAGTGGCTTATGTGGCCAAAATGACTGGCAGTATGACGATGTTCCTGAGAGAAGGGACTGGTGGGCCCACCCGGGCATCCGGTCTGATCACCCTCAGGTCTGTTGTGGAGGGTGGGTATGCAGGTAATACTGATGAGGGATTGCGTGAAGTGTTTGTTTCAAGTCTGTGAGCCCTTCTAGAAATAGTATTCCTATGTTGGGACTTCATTTCCCCTGCAACTTGTAATTTTTCCCCCATTTTTATGTTGTTTTGTATTTGTAACCAAAGTATATCCATGGCTTTATATCTTCTAGCTTTGTGTTCATTATATAGTGTGTGTATAGGACAGGCCAGAAGCATTCTCCCTTACACTATTTATATAACATAATTCTGTGCACATAATACAACTTAGAGCTCAGCTGGTGTGACCCTGTCATTATAGACGTGAACAACCTGAGGGCCAGAGGCTTGAAGGTCGGGGTCTTGCATAGCAAGGTCAGGACTAGAAATTGTAACCCTGGCCAACAGCTCTCTGTCCCAACCAGTTTGTATCCAGGCCACTGATTATATATGTATGGAGGGATAGAATTGATAACAGAACTGTTATTGATTGTATCAGTTAAGATTCACTCCACTTGCTGTTTTGAACATATCAAACCTAGAGAAAAGTTGAAGGAATAATACAATGAACACCTGTTATCCCTTTTATCACGACTGACTGGTCACCATTTCGTTACATCAGCTTTCTCTCTCTGTTTCTCTCTGTTTTCTAAACCATTTCAAAGTAAGATGCAGACATGATGGCACTTTACATTTAAGTAACTCCTAAGATTGAGGATATTTTCTGTGTAACCATAGCATAATCATCACACTAAAGAAATTTAACATTGATAAGAGACTCTTATCTAGTGTACAGTCTATAGCATTTCCCCCAAGTATCCTGTTAATGTTCTTTTTAGCTTAAAAAAACCACCAAACCGAGGATGTCGTTGAAGTTCAGTGATCCCATCTAGTTTTCACGTCTTTCGTGTCCTTGAATCAAGAAGCCCGCCCGCCCTGCCCTTATTTTGGACTTTCCTGACTTGACGTTTGTGAAGAATCCAGAATAGCTATCCTGCCACATGTCCCTCAGCTTGTGGTTTCCTCGTGGGTAGATTCGGATCATACATTCCTGTTGAGAAACCACAGAGGTGATGTGGGGTCCGTCGGTGCGTCACGTCAGATGCCAGTACGAGGCCTGACCACTTGGCTTCGGGGCATTCGCCAGGTTTCTTCACTGCAGAGGTCACTGTCCCCTTTGTAATTAATAAATAATCTGTTGGAGGATTTTGTGTGAATAGAGTGTGTGTGAATAGCCTTTCCCCCAGTGACCTTCCTCCCCATGGTGGTCTCGTCCTGACCCTTGCTGGAGCCGATTCTTCCTGCTGGTGGGGGCTGCAGATCGGTGGGGGTTTTCTGGTAGATCATTGCTTCTACAATTATTTATGGCAGGCTGGTTATCATAACCAAGTAAAGATAATTCAGGAATTTTCCGAACCTGCGAATTGCTGATACGCTTAAGTTAAGCATCTTGAGATGAGATTGCTCAGGTGGGCGTTCAATCCGAGGACAAGTGTCTCAGGCCAAGGGAGGTGCGGGGCACACAGGCGCCCACTCCGAGCAGGCAGTGCGGCCCCCCCCCCCACAGAGATGGGACTTGGCTGCGGGACGGGGTGGCCGGGAAGCTGCCTGCCCGCAGAGCTGTGGCGCAGCACCCACCGTTCTCCCCTGGAAATGGGGGGCGCGGCCTGCAGGCAGCTCTGGAAGAAGACATTTCTGTGGTGCTGAGGCTCTTGGTTTGTAGTAGTTTGTAATGGCAGCCACAGGAAACTAATGCAAAGCTCAAGAGGGTTTTTTGTCTTGTTTTTAACACGGGAGAAGTGTTGGCTGGTTTGAGGGCCACTAGGAGAGAGTCTGGGGAGAGGGAAAGCGAGTAGGTGGTGGGGTGGCACTGGAGGCCCCGGGGCAGGGTCTGGCTTTAGAGGGGGCTGGAGAGTCCCACCACAGGAGCGGCAGGGGGGCCAGGAAGGGCAGTATGGCGCGGTTCCTAGAGGCGATGGCGGCGACTTGAGCTGCCCCCTCCCACGGCCTTGACTTCCCAGTGATGCGAGAAGGGAGACTTCTGGTTGCGCCTGGGGACGCAGGACTAGGGGATGGGTGCTTGCTGAGAGGGGGGAGGCGGTAGTTGGGGTTTGGGTCACCTGGATCATAACGGCAGCGCCGGGCGCCGCTTTGCTTAGGTGGAGCCCGCAGACAGAACTGCCTTGAAAGGCTGGACGATGCTCCTTGAACATTCGTTTTATCACCTTTTTCTGGGCACCGTCTTGCCGGCTGAAGATTCAGGGGCTCAAGTGTGAGTATGGATAACTCCAGAACATGAAGGAGAGACATGAGAATTTTGAGTGTGGGGAAAATAAGAGACATTTTTAGGCCTTCTGAAACCTAAAAAAAAAAAGTACGAACAAATGGAGAATATATCAGAATTTGGGATATAAAGAATTTCAATACGTGATGTGGATGGAAACTTTAGAAATGGATGTAGCTTTAATAAGGGGGGGGGTTGTCTATTTTGCTTATGGTTCAGAAGTGGTCATTCTGAACACCTGCCACATGGCCTAGGTTAATTTACCCACGTGGCCAATATCCCTTAAAGTTAATATTTTATTGGACTCGTCTGAGATACGTAAATGGAAAAACATACACACGTGGGAAGAATAGCTTGTGCTGGACGTCTTCTGCCTGCCCCCCCGCCACCCTGCCCCCGCCCTCCCGCAGGGAGCCTGGCCTTACGCTTACACTGGCTGGGTTTGGCTAGTGGGGACCCAGCAATGGGGGGAAGGTAGAGAGGGAGGTTGGGCTGTTATTTCCTCAGCTCCCTCCTTGTGCCGTCACCTTGGCTTGGCTTCGTTCCTGAGTTGAAGGTCACCGCTCTTCTCTGCTTCTCAGAGTTCCAGAAACCACTCCCTTCCTGAAGCCCTTCGGGCCTAGGAACCAGCCCCGGGGAGGCTACTTCTCCTTTGGATTCCCTGCACCCTGTCTACCTGCACAGACCGCCTCTTTTCAACCCTGCTTGTGTTACCTGGACGGGAGAATGCCGTCTATATCCCAGGCTGGCACACTGAATTGATAGGAAACTTGGATTCCTTAGAATTTTCCAGAGTGTTCCACCCTGAGCATTACTAGTATACCATGGCTGGTAAGTACTCTGTGAGGAGCTGTACTGTTTTCACTCCCACTATTTTTCCAGGGAAAGCTCTTCTGATGACTATTAATATTTTTTTCTTTGTGTTTTCTCTTAAACCACCCTAAATCTCCTATCTTACGCTATTTGTTAAATCTACTTACTCTAAGTACTGTTGTAGATCACTTGTCTTGGTCATGAGTAAACAGAGCTGATTTAAAAATTCCAGCCCATATCGATACGAATGTTTTCTTTCTAAGGACTTCAGATAACAACACATGTCCCAAGATATTTGTATACTCGATCGCTCCTGCGGTACCTAAGCACCATGTCCTTCAAGTGCCTGTGGAAAGACGGCCTTACCTGATTTTTCTACCTTGATACAGCCAGGAGGCCACAATTCTGATTATTAGTGCAGAGAGAAGTTCAAATTTTTTAAATTTAGGCTAAAAGTCCTCTGTATAGTCTTTACTGCTGAATAGCTTCCAGACATGTCACCTGTCAGGTTTTGCTAAATATAGGATATGTGTACGCAATTGTGAAACAGAATTCCATGCTGACGCTGGAATCTAAGAGATTTTTTTTTCCTGTTTATCATTTTCAAATGAGAACCGTGCCATAAGGACATTTCCAAGGACACGACCAGAGCTTTGACTGGGCGTGACAGTCCCCAGACTTGGCTGTTTTGTGCCTGCGGTTGAGTATGCAGCACTAAGCCTTGCCCAGCAGCCTCCTCTGCTCAGTGTGCAAAGCATGTGCGGTGAGCACTCCAGATAAACTGTACTGACATGTAAGTGTGAGGCTACTGGCTGGGGAGGCAGAATGCACACTGGGCGGGCATCAGCAAGGTCTCCATGCTCCTGGCAAAGGCGTATTTGGGAGACAACGGAATAGGGTTCAAACATCCGTACAACACCTGCTGTGTGCCAGGCACTGTTCTCCGATGCCTCCGTGTCTCTCGTTCTCATTTCCCATCACTGAAACTGAGGCCTCGAGGAGTTAAGCACGGGTGAGGATCCGGACCTGACTCTTACCTGGTTGGTCTCCTTCCCAGGTGCTCCGCAGAGCACAGGGCTTGGCAATGGGACCTGGATTGGTGACCTGCTTTCTCCATTTACTGGCTGTGAGACTTCAGGACTGTCACTTGACTGGCCTCCCTATGGCTTTCCCTGTCTCCTCCGGGTGGACGGCCAGTGGGTTAAATGTGATCCTGTGCATGACTGCATGGAGCCCCTGGCCTCTCTGAAATAACCTCCTGGGCTGTTTCATTATCCTGCTTATTTCCTCTATAGCAGCACCCACCCTGGAGTTACCTTGCTGATTGCCTGGGTCTCCCTCTCTGGACACGGGATTCCTAAAGGCAGCCACTCGGCTGCTTTCTCTGCCCTGCCATCTCCTCAGCGGGCTCAGCACAGTCCCTGGCAAGCAGTGCACCCTCTAGGAGTTGTCTCCCTACTTCCCCATCTACTGTCTCTTACATCTCCTCAGGCAGCGGCCGGCTTTATGTTGGGTCAGATCCAGCGGTTGCCTGTTTTTATATGATCTGTGAACTAAGAATGATGTTTGCATCTTTAAATGTTGAAAGAAATTCAAGGAATTTGTCATCTGTGCAAATTAACGCGCTCAGATTTCTGTGTACATGCATGAAATCTCACTGGCGCACAGCCACACCCACCCGTGTATGTGGCCCCTGTAGGTGCTTTCAGACCTCTCAGAGCTGATGGTTGCCGTGGCATCCGTGTGTACGGCAAAGCCTAAAATGTGCTATTTGGCTCTTGACAGAAAAAGTTTTCCCACTTGGTCCTGAAGGGGAAACAGATAGATTCTCTGCTTCCTTGCCTTCAGTCACTCATATTCATATTTAGTCTCCTTCATTCAGACATTTATTTTTCAAAAAATATTTATTGAGCAGCCACTTCTCCCCCCACATAGGTCAAGGGGCTCAGCTCTGACTGTCCCCGTAGGAGGTGGAGGTGTGTCCAGAGCACGGGGTGTGGCCCCAGTGGGGGTGACTGAACTGATGTGAATCCGTCTGCACTGTGCCTCTTGCTGAAGGTGGTATATGGTGGCTGTCGAAAAGGAAGAGGCCACGAGCGTCTCATGGGGCTTGAACCCCAATGTCTGGCGTGATCAGCATGGACGCATGCGGGCCGGCTGTCCTCAGTACTTGCATGATGTCTATGTCGGCATTTTCTAATCCGTTTCAGTCGGGACGCACCTGTTCACTTTGCGAGGCTCAGAAGCTCTGATCTGTGCGTTTGCGTCTCTAGCTTCACCTCGTGTTGTAGATACATCTAACACATCCGCGGACGCCCGTTTTCCTCCTCCACCATGGTTTCTGTTTCCTGTCCTCGGTCCGAGCTGTGGACCCTGCACCAGCTGAGGAGCCGTGAGGCATCACAGCAGGCAGCGTGCGCTGCGCGCCCAGAACAAGCCTCCCAGTGCTGTCACAGGCATTGTGAGTTTTAGTCTTTTCTTTGGAAGATTTTCTTGCTGTTCCCTGTTTACAGGTGAACAAAGAGGCTCAGGGAGGTGATGCGATTGCCTGGGGGAGCGTCACTGCCGAGTCCTGGAGCCTGGACTTTGAACCCAGGACCTTTGTTTGATGAGCTCAGGTTCTTTCCTCTGGAACGGGGCTAAGCATAGCGGCATATTCTGCGCCCGGAACGCAGTGTGGGTAGAAAAAGTGCCTTCCTTGTCCTGTAGTGGCATTTTTGGTAACTCCCTAGGGTCCATCCTGAAGTGTCAGACCCCATGGCGTGCACCCCAGCCCACCCATTTTCTACTAAAGAGACTTGAAAGTCCGAACAGGCCAGAAACAGAATGAGGGATGAAAGACTGACAGATTTTCTGCTGGTATGGGCGTGTTACTTGGTAAAATTAAAACAACTTGACAACCTGGGATATTTCTTAACTCAAACCTTGATTGTCCAGAATATCAGAGGTCATACATGTAGCAGACCTGAGCAGACCAGCCATGCCCAAGGGGTCTGGCATGTTCATCATGTTACTAGAAAAAAAGGGCTGGTCAGCTTTAGGTATGGGGAGCGCTGAGGGCACGGAAGTGAAGAAGGCGACTGCTGCGGCCCTCCAAGCGGGGGGTCACCCAGAGCGCCAGCCCCGTCGTGGCACAGGTGCTCCCGGGGACTTGTTCGGGGGGCCTGTGGCAGGTCTTGCCTTTTCCTCTTTCCATTTTTGTTCAAGAAGTCCCCAACACTTCTGTCAGGATGGAAGAGACTGTGCCTTGTGGCATTTTGTGGCTACCCCTGGGCTGGGGAGGGAGCTCGATGCCGTGCTTCTGGACACTGGAGAAACTTTTTTAGGAAAGGATGTTGCAGCAAATGGTCCTAAATTCGGTTGGGTTTTTTATTAGGAGACCAAGACAGAGGCTTTTATTTTGAGAGAAACCAAGAGGACAGAGCTCCTGGCTCAGGCCAGGAGAGGACAAGAGAGTCCCCTAGATTGGATTTTTTTGAGACGTTTCAGTTATTCAATGGTGACGTCTCAGTAAAAAGTCAAAGTAAACATCATCTGAGCCTTTCTTGCCCGTTAATGTTTTATGTATTTTAGTTTGTCCAAACCTATGTACATCCCGCAAACATGGAGCGCGACCTCGGAATATAAAGCGCACTTGATCTCAAATGATACCTGCAAGCATAGCTGTGACTAGGGCGCAGGCACAGTAGCCCACGGGCCCTGGTGGGGTCGACGTGGGAATGTGTGGAATTTGCTAGTAGTTTTCAGGAAGTCGGGTATCCTTGTTAGGACAGTTTCCTGTCATAAAAAATTCTCTAATTTGGTTTTAAAATAGCAGCTTTAGATGTTGTTTTTGACTCAGAAATCTGTAGGAAATCTAAAACTTTATGAGTTTTTTTTTAATTTCTTTTTTCGGGGGACGGGGAAGAAATTTCCATATTTTCCACGGACAAGAAATGGGGTGTTTCTATTCCTGGTGAAATGATGCCCACGGGAAGGAGCCGTGACGTGAGAGGTCGGTAGTACCGCCTCTGCGGACCGGGCACACATGCGGGGACCGTCCTGACCCGCCGCTTCCCGCAGCTCCGGGCCAGAGCGCCGGTCCCCCGCGGGCCTCGGGCTGTGATCCGTGGCCATCACTTTTCTTCCCGAAGCTCCTTGGCTTTTACCACGTGATAAGCTTTCACTTACAGCTAAACCATCTTTGTGAGATGGAGCGAAGACCTCTTTTTATACATAAAAAGTAGTTTGTCCTTAGTTCTTTTAGGTAAAGTATCAGGAAAATAAATGCTTTGCAGAAGTCTTTTCAGTGTGAGTGGCCAAGTTCAATATTGAAGACTCAAAACCTAATCAGATCTCTTTAAAAAAATGCAAAAGGCCTTCTGGGGGCTGGGGGTGCAGCACCTGTGGGAAGAGGAGGCAGGGGTGGGGGCAGGGGGCTGCCCCAGGAGGGGGCAGGAGCCGATGCCCCCCGGAGCCGGTGGTCAGGAGACCATGTTCTCAGGATCTGACAGCCCAGTCTCCTTCTCCTACTTTTTTTCCCCTTTTAATTGTGGTAAAACGTATATGACACAATTCACAATTTAACATCTTAAAGTGTGCAGTCCAGTGGCCTTTAGTGCATTCACAGTGCCATGCCGACGGCACCAGCCCCCTGTTCCAGAGCACGTCCACCGCCCTGGACGGAGGCCCTGCCCCCGTTAGGCCCTCGCCCCCCTTCTCCTCTCCCAGCCCTGCTGTCGGTCAGAACGTGCCTCTTCCGGGCATTCCGTGCAGATGGAGTCTCGCAGGACGTGGCCCCTCAGGAGACCCACCCAGCTGTGTCTTTCACTCAACGTGATGTTTCCAAGGTCCCCCCTCTTGTGGCCTCTGCCAGGACTCCATGCCTTTTTACGGCCAGGTAATACTCCACCATGTGGACGTATTGCAGTTCATTGATCCATTCATCTATGAAGGGATGTTCTGGTTGTTTCCACCTTCTGGCTGTTGAGAATAACGCTGCTGTGAACATTCACTTACAAGTTAGTAGAAAGACTTGTCTTCAGTTTTCTGGGTATATATCTGGGAGTGGATTTACTGGGTCATAGGATAATTCTGTGTTTAACTTGCTGAGAAACTGTCAGACTGTCTTTCTCTTGCCTTCTAAGTGCTTTTCTAAAAACAAAAATTCACCACAAAATTGATACTCCAAAGTCAATTATGGGATGGATCAAAGAATAATTATAGTTCTAGACTGAATATTAACAGCCTAAGAGGTTTCTTTGAGGCCTAACTTCATTCAGAATACTTCAGTAAATGGGAAAACACCGGCCACTTACCATATTTATTTACTTCCTGCCGTAATTTGGCTTTTTCCTAAAACATGCAGCCTTTTATAAAATTCAGTATCTCTGAAGAGGATGTTTATAAATAGATTATACTGTCACTGTCCACTTTAGTTTTATACTTTTTCTGGGTCAGATAGAAGCTCTCTAATCTCTTGTGATTTGCTTAAATGTAGAGTAATCCAAGGGAAAATCTGAGGGATTTAAAAAATTTTTGTTTTTTGTCTTATAATGTTGACTTTTGCTTGAACTTCATAGTTGCCTAGGGCAGGGTAAAGAGAAATTAAACAACTACAGATAATGCTGATAATTCCCCAACATCAGATTGGCTGGTGCCAGTGAGGGTTGGACTAGCTGGTGGCCCTTGGGAGGGTCCAGCCCTCCCTGCCTCCGCAGCCCCGGGCCCTCACTGCCTCGCAGGAGGCCCAGCCTGCCCGGTGCCCCCTGGATTTGGGGAAATTGCTCAGAAGGCCCTTCTCCGAGAGAGGTCTGCTCTCACCCAGGGCTAACATCCAATAGACTTAACAATCAATATGGCACAGGCATTAACTGGTCTGCACAGAGGACAGGCCGTGCTTTAATGCAGAAGGTTCTGGAGGCCCCTGTGGGTCGGGCTCAAGGCTGTCATTGCTGGGACACGGGATGGCCTCAGGGGCAGGGCCCTGGGGGAGGTGGTAGAATAGTGACGATTTACCAACTGATACGGAAGTGTTCCTAATAGTTTAACAACCAGTGTGGCTGTAATACTAGAATTCTAAGACTAGAGATGACGATATTTCCCTTCCTACCATCCCTCAGCAGGTGTCTTCAGGGCCACAGCTCTGCTGGGTCGCCCCACGGTCTTTCCCCAGGGAGTGGTCCCCACCTCTGCAGGAGGAGGCATTCCTGTCGGCGCAGCTCCGCCTCTGACCCCGGAGATGGCTGTTCTCCCTGAACCCGCCTAGGAAGGCCCCCACCCTGACCGCAGCACTTTCCTGCGGGCGCCAGGAGTCCCCTGCTCTGTGTGTGTCACTGGATATGGCCTTAGGCTTTTTTCCTAAATGCCCAGTTGCACTTGGTTATCAACCTGTTTAATAACCATCAGTGTTTTCCCAGTGCATAAACAGAACGCCCCCCCCCCTCCGCCCCACCGACCCTGGAGAAAAATAACACACACGGAACTTTAGGACAGCATCCCAAGCAGGCCTCAGCACCCCTCCGAACCTCTTTTTAATTACGATTCCTCGTCCCCACACCCAGGAGCACATATTCCCCCCAGTGCAGCTCACACCCACCATCTCCGTCTCATGACCCCCCACCCCGTGTTGTCCTTTG